ACACCCAAACTTGAAATTACCATAAGTAACTTATCAATTTATAAATATAATTGTTATATTGAGTAAATGAAAATATTGATTACACTCACATTGATGTTTGTATGATAATGAGTGTGTGTATGTCTTTATATATGTTTGTGTTATGTCATGTTATGTATATATATTGTAACTGTATTGTATACTAATGTAAAAATTTGAAGAAAAAACAAGAAAAAAAACAAACTATGGTGATAATAATGTTTCCTAATTTATTAAAATTTTCTTGATGCACTTTAAATTTGGTTAGTAAGACAAGTAGTGAGTTGGCTTCTTTGTCGAAGAAAGAGAAGCAATTTTCCTGTTAATCATGAGTTATCTGCTAGCAATGTCATTAGTTATGGTGAATCAGGAGACAACAATGCTCTCTAAGCAATTTTCTCCAGTCACTTTTGGGTTTCTTAAGCCCATTACTCAAACCAACTATTCGAGGACAGAATCATTCTGTAACAATTTTCGATGGCATAAGTTCAAATGAAAAGAAGTGCTACTTTTAGCGCTTGCTGTCTGCTGTCGGAATTGCTTCGTTTGCAGATCCTTTTCTAATCTCCTTGTAACATTTTATTTTTTTCCCAGTAATTTCTTTTCTATTTATAAATGTAGCACTATCTTAATAAAGTACAAAAGTATGGCAAATCATTTATATTTTGGGAGTTTTCTGATTGTCCTTAAAAACTTGGGTGTGGTCAATGCCAGGTGTATTTGTTAAGAAAAATAAAACAATATAATTTTTTTGTACAATCTTGTTTCACATTCTTTTTTTCTGCCTCAGGATCATCTACTTAGCATTTAGTATGAATCCTGATATTGTGGCTTACCGTCTTTTTCCCCCATTTTTTTTAATAGCATTATTACAAGGTAACTTTTTTAGGAGCCTTGCTATGACTGTAACGTCTCTGGTGAGTGATTGTAACCTCTCTGGTGTGTGATTGTAACCTTTCTGGTGAGTGATTGTAACCTCTCTGGTGAGTGACTGTAACCTCTATGAAGTGTGATTGTAACCTCTCTGGTGTGTGATTGTAACCTCTCTGGTGTGTGATTGCAACCTCTCTGGTGTGTGATTGTAACCTCTCTGAAGTGTGATTGTAACCTCTCTGGTGTGTGATTGTGACCTCTCTGGTGTGTAATTGTAACCTCTCTGGTGTGTGACTGTAACCTCTCTGGTGTGTGATTTTGACCTCTCTGGTGTGTGATTGTAACCTCTTTGGTGTGTGATTGTAACCTCTCTGGTGTGTGATTGTAACCTCTCTGGTGTGTGATTGCAACCTCTCTGGTGTGTGATTGTAACCTCTCTGAAGTGTGATTGTAACCTCTCTGGTGTGTGATTGTGACCTCTCTGGTGTGTGATTGTAACCTCTCTGGTGTGTGACTGTAACCTCTCTGGTGTGTGATTGTAACCTCTCTGGTGTGTGATTATAACCTCCCTGGTGTGTGGTTGTAACCTCTCTGGTGTGTGATTGTGACCTCTCTGGTGTGTGATTGTGTGAGTGTAACCTCTCTGGTGTGTGATTGTAACCTCTCTGGTGTGTGATTGTAACGTCTCTGGTGTGTGATTGTAACGTCTCTGGTGTGTGATTGTAACGTCTCTGGTGTGTGATTGTAACCTCGCTGGTGTGTGATTGTGACCTCTCTGGTGTGTGACTGTAACCTCTCTGGTGAGTGATTGTAACCTCTCTGGTGTTTGATTGTGACCTCTCTGGTGTGTGACTGTAACCTCTCTGGTGTGTGATTGAAACCTCTATGGTGTGTGATTGTAACCTCTCTGGTGTGTGATTGTAACCTCTCTGGTGTGTGATTGTAACCTCTCTGGTGTGTGATTGTAACCTCTCTGGTGTGTGATTGTAACCTCTCTGGTGTGTGATTGTAACCTCTCTGGTGTGTGATTGTAACCTCTCTGGTGTGTGATTGTAACCTCTCTGGTGTGTGATTGTAACCTCTCTGGTGTGTGATTGTAACCTCTCTGGTGTGTGATTGTAACCTCTCTGGTGTGTGATTGTAACCTCTCTGGTGTGTGATTGTAACCTCTCTGGTGTGTGATTGTAACCTCTCTGGTGTGTGATTGTGAGGTTACTGGCAGCCATGATTGAACACATTGTTTGTTTCATCTGCAAAGGTCAAACACTGGTGGCGTGGTGCCTTTGGCGTTCTCCACACAACACGATCGACAACAAGGACCCAGCAAGTTTTCACAGCAGTGTCAACTAAGACAGACCACTTTGTGCCCCTTGAATCTGTTTTTATCTTCTGAATCTGTTTTTATCTTCTGAATCTGTTCTTGTCTTCTGAATCTGTTTTTATCTTCTGAATCTGTTTTTATCTTCTGAATCTGTTCTTGTCTCTGTGTCGGAATTGAACCCCTGTAGGTCTGGGTAAGAATCAAGCCTACTATATACCACTACATGTTACTTAAGAGGCGACCAATATGGGGAACCCTAATAAAAAGGGGATCCATTCTGTGTCTCTACTCGTACTACAGGTTGGGAAGAGAATTAGCCTTATATATATCGGTACACATTACTTAAGAGGCGAACAATTTGAGGAACCCTAAGAAACAGGGGATTAAAGATCATTCCGAGTATAAAATCATAAAGTAAAGGTCTTTGTCGTCGTCTTCACTATTAGGAACTCAAGTTATATTGTGCAGGAAATGATATGTCAGCTAACATCTTTATAATTTACTGAGCTAATTTCCTTACCTATCACTAATCAATATTGTATTTACCCTGTAATAAACTGATATCTGGTATTAAGCCCGTCCCTTACGGTTACAGTCCATGAAATTACCAACACAGTTGTCTCATTGTCCTTAAGTAAGCTTTATAAGCTTTATGACCCAACTACTTTTCATGATAAGAGATGATTGTGTTGGCCTAAGTTGGGCTTACTGCAGGTTATATACGTTTTTCTTTTCCTGTGTGACAATTTCTCTATGAATACATGTAACATTGTATAAAAAAAAATACCCAAACAACATTCCAGTATTTAACTCATTCACCCCTGCAGACACATTTGAACTCTTTTCAAATTAGAGGCTGGAATAGTTCATTATGACATTTCAAGGGGGAACGAGTTAAGCACGTGATTTATTCCAGGACATTTTTAAAAGAAAATATTTCAAGTTTACATTTTGAAATCTATACCTGTGTAAAGACCTGACTCCACCCCCCCCCCCCCCCCCCCCCCCCCCCCCTCCTCTTAATGTGAACTCTTTTCTTTTCACTAAAATCACAATATCAATTCATAGATATTATAACACTATATAACTGTTCTTTTTTCTTTTTTCCTGGATACGTTTTTGAAAGAAAATGGAGAAATGACACTGATATAATTTCATAAAAACATTTCTTTCAAAAAAGGTTATAATTGTTGATGTATCCCTATGTGGCTGAAGAAATTTGGTCACTGATGTACAGACTACAGAACTAATAACGAGAAAACTGGAAATTAGTCTGGGCAGCTAGCCTCTGACAAGTCGTCACATTCCTCAAACGTAAAACAAAATCAAAATCATTTATCTTTTCAAATGTGCAATTTTCAAAGATATTACTTTCAACAGCATTGTTGACAGGATAACTGATGAGGCCAACAGTGACACATCCAGGAACAATCTACCGAGGGATAGGAAACTAGAAATGGCAACAGAAATGATGGAACGCCCGTGTTTTTGGGTCAGTACATTTCGCCGTCTGCAATACGACATGCCGACTTTCCAAGGAAATCTGTATTTCACCGATCCAATCATCTCGAACTATATGACTAGGTCGTCACCATGACATCCAAATCTGAAATAGCTCGCTGATCCAACATAAATCACGCCCTGACTCCTGCAGTACACACATCACAAAGCAAAAATGTGTCGGTGGATATGTTTTTTAATTCCTGCAGAGACCTTCGAATCTGAAAAATATATGTGATGCCAAATTTTGACATTTTGCCAGTTAACCCTTTCACCACTGTAGACCATAATGGACTCGTCCAGATCAATGCATGGTAGAGTCTACTAAAGTTACATAGGGGTGAAAGGGTTAAAAAGTCTTCACTGACAGGAGATTTAGAATTCAGATTTTTTTTAAAGATATTAGAAGGATTTACACTTGTATTGCTAATACTGTGATGATTTGTTCAGCCAGCCACCATCGTTCTGAGACGAAGTGGCTGGATTGTAAAATGATTGTATTATGGAAGACATTTTTAACTGGTTCAATGGAATTCTGTCTCCCAAAAACACTGGCATGACAGTGTAACAATATTATAAAATGGGACAGGATATATAGAAACACTTCGATGTATGTTAAGAAAAAATAAATCAAGTAATGGAAAAACAGTGTTCTACAAAAAGAAAAAGAAATCCTTTTACCTAACCATGATTAACCATGCAATCATTCCAATGATAGTCGACAAAGAAAAACCAAGAGAAAAGTTTGTTTTTCCTCTTAACGTCAGTGACATTCAATTTCAATGATGTATTCTAGTTCTTGATCCTTGATCCACTATATTTGCAAAAAAAACAAACATGTATAAACCAAACATTCATGAGGTCATGTGACCTTCTTGCTTCGGTGTACAATAATTTATTTCGCAATACAGAAAATTAAAAGAATCGGCAAAATGACTCGCACTACACATTTGACTGGCTAAACATTAAACACAGACGGTAAGAATATCTGTCAATGTGTGGTGTGTCATTACGAAAATAAGTTGGTGCTAACTTGATGGAGAAACTATTTGGTCTCCAGTTCTTCTAGCACAGCTACAGATAGACAATATCTTTCTACACCACAAACCTGATCAAAATTTAATTAGGAGACGGACAGAGGTTTCATCATAACCACAGCGTGATTGTATCAGGGAAGCATTGCAGATGGTGATAATATCGCAAATAATTAAACAGGAGCTGCAATAGATTTTGTTTAGGTTAATGATTACTAAAATTAAAACAGTCAGTTGGATAAAAAAAAACTTACCTGGATTGATAGCAACGTCGACCAAAGCAAAGTTGACCATCAGTACTAGTACTCCTGGAAACCAGCAAATACGCATCTGAAAAATATAAATCATAACCCTTCATTAATATCAACTGGTTATCTTATCATTATTTAAGGATTGAATCCTGTTCTGTTGAGATTTATACCCCATGAACTTCAACACAACAGGATTCAATCCTTTCATTTACAAATTCATACCCCATGAGAATCAACACAACAGGATTCAATCCTTATATTTACAAATTCATACCCCATGAACATCAACACAACGTGATCAATTCAATCCTTTTATATTTCATACAGCAGGATTTAATCCTTATATTTACATTCACTGCGATTTTGGTATTTTTCATTTATAATTTCTAAAATATTGGACTTGTGTAAGTCTACGCCACGGAGGGTGCTAATGCATGTGCCATCTTCACTCACTGTGTAATGGTAAGATATAAACACTTCCATCTACTCCAATCCTCATATTGACCAATCAAACTGTTTCTTATAAACTATCCAATCCTGAAACTGACCAATCAAACTGTTTGTTATCAACGCTCTCATGCTGAAACCGACCAATCAAACTGTTTGTTATCAACACTCCCATCCTGAAACTGACCAATCAAACTGTTTGTTATCAACACTCCCATCCTTAAACTGACCAATCAGACTTTTTGTTATAAAACACTTCCATCCTTCTTTTGACCTATCAGATTGTTTGCTATAAACACTTTCATCCCCTTCTGACCAATTAGATTGTTTGTTATAAACACTGTCGATCATATCCTACTGACCAATCAGATTGTCTGTTATAACCACAAATTCCCCTCCCCCCACTCTGTGTCTACTCTTATCATTATTCATTACTCTGTTACCAGTGTTACCTTCTAAGCTTCAACTTAGGTTTTCTATCTACGACCAAATTGCATGACCAGTTGGAATAAATTGATGTGAGCGGAGACAAGAAGACTCGGCAGACTTGTACATGAGACGTGCTTGTATGTGGTATTTAGACTTGATCTATCTATAGAGATCTAAGGCTCGGCCACAAATTTACGATCAGGCTAAATTTATATGTTCCATTACAAGTGAACCCGACATAATCGTGACTAAAACCTAATTGACCTCATCCTCTGTAGGGGAGCTCAAAAGTGTTGCTCTATGCAATCAGGGAATCGGAAGATTTATATATACAGCAGGGGACTCCAAGAGCTTCTAAAACCTCTACAGAAACTTGATGAATGATAAGGGGCTTTCAAACGTTTTTCTGTTATTTTGAGGAGTCTCTATTAGTTTCATAAATGATCAGGAGCAGGTTGTCTCCCTTGTCTGACCTCTCCTTGATTAATTGACCCCTAAAATCTCGCTATGATGGGCACCTAATTTTGCTGTTCTCATCAGCCTGGGTATTATAAATGGTAGAATTGTTAGGTATCTAAGATATCAAAAAAATCACAGGCGCTTCCATATCCCAAAAGTTTTATAATAAAATGTTCAATTGACAAATTTGTTGTCAACAACATCTATATCACAAGTCGTTTACGTAACAACCATATTTATGGCTTGTTGTAATGTGCTTAAAAATGATTGTACTTTGACTTTTTGATTAAAATACTGTTAAAATCTATGATTTCCATAATAGAATTGTGTTCAAAAGGAAAAGAAAATCATTGAAAAAACTTCTGCATGAAGTACATAAAAATGTTAAGATAACTTTGTTCAAATCAAGAATGATCGAGTCATTTGATCAGGTAGGCAAGAGTGTCAGTAATTAGTAACTTTATTGACAAAATGAGGCACTGGATCATTTGGTCAGATAAGAGAGGGTGTCAGACAACATAGTCTTTATTTACATCAAGGGAGACTGGATCATTTGGTCAGATAAGAGAAGGTGTCAGTGAACCTGTCTTAACTGACATCAAAGGAGGTTGGATCATTTGGTCAGATAAGACTGTGTCAGTGAACTTAGTCTTAACTGACATCAAGGGAGGCTGGATCATTTGGTCAGATAAGACTGTGTCAGTGAACTTAGTCTTTACTGACATCAAGGGAGGTTGGAGCATTTGGTCAGATAAGACTGTGTCAGTGAACTTAGTCTTAACTGACATCAAGGGAGGCTGGATCATTTGGTCAGATCAGAGAGGGTGTCAGTAAACCCACCTAGGTTATAGACAGAAAAACAAGTATGTTGGTGTCAGATAGCACAGGACATCTTTTAATTCAGGTGTCAGTCAAGTCAGGTTTCACTGTAGATTAAAACAGAAATCAGTTTTTGCATATTTCAATGACCGGTTTGTAGGAGTTCTCAGTTAATTTTGACAGGAAGGTAAATTCTTAGAGCACACAACACAGGACGGAATCTGATCAGACAGCGATATGATCAGTTTTCCCATTTTACATACAGTACATATCAATTTTGACGTCAGGATCTTTTAGATTCTCCGACATTATAAGTGTGACGGACTCCAGACATACGTTTTCAGACAAGCAGCCTGATGGACCGTCCGACACTATGTTATAATACATTGTCCTTTTTTATAATATCTTTCTTTTCCAGTCCAGCCCACTTGTCGATGCTACCGATACCAGGCTAGACCTTCATCAACAAGAACGAGTAAATCGTGGACGACAACATCAGTCTAGAGGGCCAGTGTTTCGGTGACAACTTCTCAGATAAAATTCCCAGGTGGACGGCTTCTCATGATCACACATAACGGCAGCTTCTCTCCGACACTACGGCATTCGACAGATTCATCTGGATCATTACAGTGTTTGCTGTCACCATCGCATCCATGCTTATATTACTCTCTCACACTTCAATGACTCCGACCAGATCAGCGCTGATATGTCAAAGCACCTGTGGGACTCAGATTGAACAATTATTTCCCTATCCCATTACAACCTGACCCAGTAGCAGACAATCATCAACACTCGGTACAGGACAGTGTTTGCACTGCACCAACATACAACATATGTAACGGCTAACAGAGTTGACCTTTGTTTGATCTTCATGGCTTGACCTTGCCCACAACATATGGCTTTTCTTTATGTTATAATAGAAGTTAACATGCTTCACCTTTGAACTTTGTCCTGGCGACACAAAACATTATGAGTGTTACAATCCAATGCTCAAGTGTCGTTATAGTAGTGATGTGATTGATCATGATGCACACTTTTAGTCCATCCAACTGGTAGTTCATCGACAACAGTTATGGAATTTTTTCTTGCTCAATCATTCATTATTCTTTCCCGATTTCACTGTTTGAAATGTTCAATGATTAGCTTGTATGTCACATTGAACACAGTATTCATGTCCTTCATAAAATTTAACATAATAACCCATTAAACTAAACAAAAGGCCCAATTGACCTATATCACTATATGCTTAATATCATAACCCTCGCCCTCATGAGGGTTATATAGAAGTTGTCTGAAAGTTTCAACACATTTGACCCCTGAGACCTTGAATGTGAGTCATGGCTATTCATTTGAACAAAATTTAAAGCCCTTTCATAACAGTATGCTACATAGGCTAAATATCATCACCTCTGACCTTTTGGTATTATAATAATTGTTGATTAAATGTTTTAACACATTTGACCCCTGTGACCTTAAAAGTGGGTCAAGGTTATTCACCCTTTTAGCCTGATCCTTGTTTAATGTTGTTTAAAGTGAAAGTTGACACTTGTTGATGGGCTATGACATATGTTCACATGCTCTCACTGGCAGATGAGCTTAAAATGGAATATTAAGTTTGAGAAACCATTTCAACATAACAACTACACTTGATGAAGCAATAATGTTTAGTTGAGTTACTTCCCTTTTGATCATTGTGAATTGCTGGCAAGTAGACCCTTTCACTGTAGGGCTGAAATGTTAGCAAAAATCACACATGTAAATGTCAACATCATTTACATACTGTGACCCCACTGACCCTGACCTTGTGATATGTTTAAACCGCTAATTGATCATGTACGATTTGTTTGGCTATAACTTTTCTGAAGTGGACTGAAGCCTATAAGAATATAAAACTCGGGAAAGCAGGAGGGCGATGGGAATAACTGGAGGAAGAACGATGATGACGTAATGTTGATTAGGAGTCTTGATAATACTAGAATTCATGTTGAGTTTATCTACAACTTAACTCACGTTAAATTCCCCAGAAACCATTTGTTAAAAAAAATGGATGAGTTACTTATATTATTAACATCGTATCTATAAAGTTCCAAAGGCAGGGCAAACAAACCGAGGACATTTCCAAGGACTAAAAGGACCAACTGGGAAATCACAACGATATCAAAATCTCAAATGCCAGCAACAATGCCAATACAAAGGCATCAACCAATCAAATTACACAACACTGGCATACTAACCAATCAAATTAACTGTCTTAACCACATTCACCAATCACATAAATTGACACAAAATGTTTTAGACGACAAAACGTAGCACTTACTCTGCTAACTATGATCCATGATAGTTTACACAAAATGCGGAATAATCAAATCAGAACAAACTGGATTTCTTCCGCCATTAATCACAAGACAATCATGCCAAAAGGAAAAAAAAAAACGGAACAGAATTTTCAGTGGAAATATGTGCCTTGATATAATAATGGATATTATATAAGAGTTATTAAATTTGATGAAACGGACTGAAGCAAAAAGGGATTTCATATCTATCAAATAATGCTTGTCAATATTGATTACGCGTCCTATCTAAGTTGATTATTTCGATGTAATGTAATGTAATAGAAGTTTATGTAGTATCTAAATTTGTTAAGAGTTGGACCTTAAATCTGTACTCTATCAATCAACTGGATACGGAATTCCTGGAACAAATTCATCTTTCACTCTTGTGTCGACAGTTTAGTAACACTCAAGTATCTGATATTAGACCCCCTGCGAGCTAACATCTGGCCGAACAAGAGTGATTAATATGCTGATAGAGCGTGTTTCATAATTGTTGTACAATAAATTAAGTTCAATTTTTTATCTATACATTATTTATGTAAATAACTCAGTAATCATCACTTACCCAAGTATTTTCACCTAATCCAACAAA